TCCACAGATTCAGTGAATCCTGAGTGATATCGGGGAAACGACCTATTCCACAATGATTTTGGGGCATAAGAACAGCGAAGGCAACGTCACTTTAGATTTACAGGTTAGATGCGTGGAATGGAGTAGTAAAGGCCGAGATTTGAGGACGAGACGTGGCCCGAGGGAGTGGAGTGGTGGAAAGGAGGTTCGAAATGTAACTGGGGTATCAAGGTTCATGCGAAGTGCCTTCAGATAAGTGTATAATCAGTAAGATCTGTAATTGATACTGAATTTTACCGGAAGCCAGTGATAGGGATGCAGAACAGGAAGTAATTCGTGGCTACCGATCAGCTGGTACATTACTGGTTATAAAGTCATGGCGAATGAGATAGATTGGGTATTAACTAGACTTAATAGGCCACAAGGCGAGGGTTGTTATCAAAGTAATCGGCTGATCAACCGTTACAGTACATTGCGGCAATTGTGTGCTGCTGTCTTGACTGATGTGTGTCACTAACATGGTGCATGCTGCAGTGCGTGTTTCCTCTCCGCGGTATGCGTGCTCTTCTGGCTGTGTGTTTGTCGCTGCTGAACTACGCGTGCTTCACACATCGTTGCGTGCTGTCCGAATCCCGCCTTCACCAAATGCAGTGCCTAGCCTGCAACTTTATTATGTTGTGCTTTTACTCTATGATCGGTGTCAGAGATCGGAGTCATTACTCAGGTTATGCGGTAGTATGTTGCTACGTTTTAACGTTGTCTGCTGTACAATCTTTTGAACTTCCCTTCTACATGTGGTTCCCTCTCTCTCTCCCTGTCTCCTCTCTCTCTTCTCTCTCTCTCTCCATCGGTGGTATTCGGCTCTGGGTCTCATGGTGTAAATGTTATAAGGGTTCGGTCTAGACCTGCTCTATTTGAAAGCTGTCTGAGATAACTTCCTTGCTTGATCGGTTGGCGCTATACAATAAAATGATTGAATTGAATTGAATATTTTCTTTCAGAGAAAAATAAAACAGTTTATAACAACAACAATAAAAGTAAAATCTAGACTTAAAGCTGCAGTAATTTTATAAAAATAACTTTATCATATTTGCAGTGTATCCTGTCCTCTGCCCCCCCGGTGCTCATAATGGGGTTTAACGTTTGGTCACACAGTTTAAGTTAAGAATTTAAACAATATTGTGCACTTAGAAAACTAAACTAAAATAAAATAAATCAGGAAATATCTGTTCTTATAAATATATATTATAATAAAACAACACTAAACATTTTGTAAACAATAAAAACTGAAATGAAGAATTAAAACCAGAAATTAAACTAGTTGTGATGGTAACAGTTTGTTTCTGACACACAGTCCAACCAGGAGAGTCTGACCGTTCATGAGACCTCTGCTGCCCTCTGGAGGCAGGGGCAGTAACTGCACTCTGACTTTAGATCTTATCAATCTGTTCATTCAGCTCCTACTTTATTCTATATAATGTATATATATATTATTATTTTACTGTATTCTTTATATCTTCTCTTGTCTTTCTCATTTGTTTACCAAAATACAGTTTGAATATCATTTTAATGACTGAATGTGTTCTGGGTGTCTTTGTTAAATATTTATACAGAAATCAGTGAAATAATTCTGCCTCATTGAGTTGTGTGGAAGAATTTGTAGGGTTTTATAAATATCTCTGATTGATCGTCCTTTCCTGTGCGCAGTCGAGTTTCCTGGTTTCACATCGACCCTCCAGGTGGCGTTGTTATTTCTGCTGTGTTTGTCCAAACTACGGTACCACAGATAAGGATGTGCAGCAGTATTTACCCACTGGTGGTTGTGGACAGCGTGCAGTGGCTGCAGACCCTCCAGACTTCATTACAGCCGGTAAAATGTTCTCAGGTATGAAAACATTCAGTACAAGTAGATTTGGTTTGTTTAATTAGTGACGTACAGATTCATTAAGTAACCTATGACATTCAGTACGACAGGTTAGGTTTGTATTAGTGTGTATTGAAAGTCGGAGGTTAGAGTCGGGTGCACTGGCCTGGGAGCGTGCGGTCCGTTGTATTCCCCCCCCCACCTCTCTGGAAATAAAAAGTAAGGAGTTTTGTTATTGCAAATGAAATTCCAGTTGGATTTTTTTACAGGTCAGAAATAATAGCAGACAATAACAAACAAACAAACAAACACAAGTATGTGTTGGAGGATATTTGTTGATCCATGTTTGTGTTATGTCTATACACAGGTGCAGACCAGGACATCCACTGATGGAAGTGATATCGGATATGATTTATCTTATGGAAAAATGTAAATAAAGCTTTTAACATGAAGAAATCTTGTTGTACAATTTATGTGGACCAGAATATAGAGATAATGAATACAAATAACATAAGAATGTTACCGTGTTGAGTTGTAATTTATATTTAATAAACACATAATATATTGTAGTAGGAAAAAGTTGTGGATTATTTTGTGAGGAAAGCCGTTCATTCAGTCCATAAGGGGTTCTGGTACTGAGTTTATTGGTCCAGGTTCCCTCTGCTCTACTCCTCTGTCCCGGGCTCCAGTTGGGATTGCTTTCGATGCCGAATATTATTAAATTAATGATGGAGTGCATTTGAAAAGATAGATAGATAGATACACACTTTATTTATCCCGAGGGAAATTCAAAATGTTGCACCAGTGGGGTCTCCAACTCGGCCTTCCTGATGTTGTACAGATGTTGTAATAGTATAGTTCTGATGTTATTTTCTGTTTGAAAAAGTATAAATTATTTTGTTATTGCAATTTAAATTCCAGTTTGTATTTAGCTAGTTGATGGTGCCTGCTAATGTTAGCTTGATAATGTAGGGTGAAAAAGGTCATTTTTTCCTCTGCAGGTTATGTCACAAACATGTATTGATGGATGTTTGGTGGACAGCGAGTGGGCAGTGGGGACTGATTTCATCATGTTGACTGTATCCGCTCTCAGTAATGAGGCCCAGTGGAGCTCCTCTCTTCATCAACAGCAGCTATTTCCATCTGTAACACAACACAAAGAGGCGTCTGTGTGGACACTTGGACACTCTGGAGGCTCTAACCAGCTTCACTAACAGGCCAATTAGCACACAGGGAATCATGGGAGGTCACTTTCTGTCGCCATGGTTACTGCTGAAAACAGAGCAGCTGTTGATGCTCCTGTGCAGTTGCATTTCTCTGGGGTCTTGCACACTGTGTCCACTACATGTAAAGTTAGATTTGACTTTGGCCCAATGACCTTGTTTCACTCACAGGAAGCTCAGTAATCTGACAGTTTGTTGGATTAACTCAGTGGTTCCATACTGGGTGCACCTTCTAGGTGCAGCTCAATGGCCTTTTGATTTTAAGTTGTTAAATTACTTAATAAAAAATAAGATAGATAAATTTTCTTTTTAATAGTCAACAATGGGAGAAATTCCAATGTTACAGCAGCAAAGTGGATAGAGAAAAAAAGAGAAAAAACAGTATAAGAACAGTAAGACATTTTTTGTTTGTTTTTTGTTAGTGTTCATCATTGTTTTCATATGTTACATCATTAACATCTGCTCACATACCAATATGTACAAACCTGAAATCTCATCGCATCTCCCTCACACCTTACTTCACTAACTTCTTTGTTTGTTGTTGTTGTTACCCCAGTTCCTGTCATTGTTAATGATAATCAACATGCAGCAGGATGAGCTGCCTGATAAAAACCGTGTTCTGCCTAATAAACATACATATACACACACACACACACACACACATATATATATATTCAGGTATATGTTGCCTTTTCCTTATAAATATTTTCAATAGATTAACCTGTTATTTTTAAAATGTAGACTATTAAACATATAAACTAAAAAAAGCTATATTTTAAAGGAGCCTTCAATCTCTAATAAAACAACCAAAGAACTAACAGAACAGGCCTAAGTATGTATAATACATAATACAGTGAATTGTATAAAAAGTTCCCTAAAATTATCAGTAAAATAAATTTCTGATCAATATTCACAGGAAATGGCGCCCGGTTAGCTCAGTGGGTAGAGCTGGCGACCCATGTACCAAGGCCAAGGAGGTCATCCCCTCTCTCTGCCCCCCTTTCCTGTCTGTCTCCAGCGGTCCTATCAAATAAAGGCATAAAAGCTGAAAAAAATATACTTAAAAAAAAAAAGATATTCACAGGAAATAATCAAACTTCCTGCCATTATTGTGTTCACTGTTCGGGTTCATTGTTCAGTTCAGCTGTTCTCTGCTGTTATTGTAGAGATTCTTTAAATCATCTTGTGGTCCTTCACTGATTAGTTGACTGACTTAAGATAAATAGACTAATAGTTACTAATGAGTCATGTGTGAATCAAAACGTTTCTCTTCTTCTACCCATAATGATGCAACATCCATAATATCCATTCATTTATCATTGACTGGAAGCCCTAAAATAGCGTGTTAGTCTACAGCTGATGATCTTTAGACCTTTTAATGCGAGGACACTTTTTCTTCTGGGAGAATCTGCAGCAGAGCGGTTGCTTTCCTCTCCATATCAGAATCAGAATCAGAAATACTTTAATAATCCCCGTGGGGAAATTACTTGAAAGGTGGGTACAAGAAACAGGAAAAAATATGTTTTTCCCTTTGCATTGTTGGTTTGGTTCATTGTTTTTTCTCCTTTAAAGTTGGTCATTTTCCAGTTTAAGTTCCATTGCAGGTTGTTTTCAGTATTTTCTGACTGTTTTATTTATTTTCCTCATTTTCATCCCTGAGTAAATTCAGTAAACTCAGTAATCTCTTTTCTCTCTTTTAGTTTTACAGTTTCTCTTAAATTTTTAGCTCAGCTTTCTTTCCAAATCACATTATTCATATTCACCATAGTTACTTGAACCTATGTCCTGTTGCAGTATTGCAGAATAAAATTCACAGTATTGACAATAACAATCATCAGTTAGTGTATTTTATTGGCAGAGAACATTGAAACAGAGACACAACCCACAGATCAACACGCTGCTATGTGGTCTTTTTAAAATATCTGCATCTAAACTCACAGTTGTAAAATTCTATGTTTAAAAACTTTGTTTATACTTTGCCGAATCTCTTGCATTTTAATACCATAAATTATGGGATGCAACAGAGGAGGGAGGACAAAAAAATTCATACATGTTAAAATATTCACAGCTTTTGGAACTTCTTGACTCAAACGATTGTAAATAACACCAAAAAAGGACGCCACAGAGAAATTAATGAAGGTCATTAAGTGAGGGGTGCATGTCTGCAATGCTTTACTCTGAGACTCCTTTGAGGTTTTTAGGATCACCGTAAAAATGTGAACATATGACAGAATGACTAGCAAACAAGGGAAAACAATGACACAGATGGCGCAGCACAGACCGTACAGACTGATCAGAGTTGTCTTTTTACAGGAGAGGTTTGCAATGACCAAACTGTCACACATAAGTTTATCAACTGTGTGTCTGCACAGTTTGAGTCTGGACGTCAGATAAACCTGGATGGCTGACGAAGAGCTCAGGATGAAATAAACCATCGTCAGCATCAGTTTTACTTTAGCCGGCGTCATGATAGTGTGGTACAGCAGAGGTTTACAGATGGAAACGTATCGATCGTAGGCCATCAACGCTAAGATACAAAATATACAGCCGCTGTACACGTTGGTGAAAAACACTTGTGTTAAACACCCTTCAAGAGAAGTCTCCTGCCTGTTCATTATGAGGTGTTTGATAATGTTCGGACACACAGATGAACTTCCCATGACTCCGCTGAGAGCCAGATTGACCAACAGAACGTACATCGGTCTGTGAAGGCGAGACTCAACACAAATAACCAGAACGAGGAAAAGGTTAATACACAAACCTGAAATGTAAAGGACAGAGATGCAAATGACAAGAGCAAAGTTATACAGACCAAGAGTGCTGTAGATTGTAAAAGTGATGGGGACTGTGGACACAGAGCTGTTCATAGTGACACTTTAAAAAAGGCACATACATTAAACAGCAATCCTAATGCAGACACCTTTCTTTCACCTGTTCCCAACCTGCTCTAACTCTCACAGTTCAGGAAGCTTTTTCTTCCCCCTCCTCCTCATCTGAATGAGCTTAATGAGAAGTGTTTGCTTTTATAAAGCTCTGATATCCAGCTGTCTTTTTCCTCCGGCCCCTGACGTCACAATATCCAGAGCTGGGCAGTTACATGTACAGTAACAGTGTAGGCTGAAGACTTGATTTTGAATTAGTTCTTCATTTTCATTCATATTGTGCCTAATGAATTACTTATATTAAAGGAATACAATTTACCTCCATTAGGGCTGGCCCACCTAATAGTCGACTAAACTGTGGCTCAGAGGCAGAGTTGGGGGTGAACTCTATGGGTTTCTGGAAAATCCTCCAGCGTGCAGCCAAGATTCCAAAACTGTTCTCAAAGACCCTGCGGGCCCTTGAGTGGCGGTAGTTGTAAATCTTCCTCGCATCATCCAGATTGACACCTGCAATAGTTAAAAATAATGATTTTTCAATTACAGTGAACTGAACCCAAATATCAATGTTACATTACTGAAATGAATATTACATGGAAACATTATGTTTCGGAAGGTTGTAGGTTCGATCCCCGGCTCCTGGTTTGCCATCACTGAGTGAATGTGTGTGAAAGGGTGAATGTGTCTGCAGTGTAAAAGTGCTTTGAGTGGTCGAAAGACTAGAAAGGCGCTATACAAGTACCGGTCCATTTACCATTTACCAGTGAGAAGCGTCTTAGTTGACCCAGTTTTCATTAGTTGGACAGTCGCAGAAAAACAGAGATTAAAATTGACCATTGTGAGAGAAATGTGGTAAAACCTTTAGTTGTCAACATGGAACAGTGGTTGTAGATCTCACTGACAGATTTACATCTTTGGAGACTGAAGGCAACCAGAGATGATGAAATCAAATGACGTTGCAGCACACACACGCCAGCACTATGGCCAAAACGTGTTGATTGTTTTTCTGCAATTTTAAAACATAAGAGCCAGCTGATGATATGATTCACCACACGTACATCACACATACATCATGCACAATCTGACATGCCTAAAATGTTTATTGTACAGTTTGTTGTTTGTTAAAAACTTACACAGTCATTGTTGTGGCATAGGGCCGGCTGTTCCACTTTATGAATTTGTTTGAATGAGATTAGTGTCTGTCGAGCAGTTGGGACCTTGCATGGCAGCCTCTGCCATCAGTGTATGAATGGGTCAATGTGACAATGTGTAAAGGCGCTATATAAGTGACAAGTAACAACTCCTTAACAGAAATACTTTTTTATTCACCATTTCTTACTTCTTGCTTCCATTAATGACATTTTTTTAAAAATTAAAAAATCAATGACTGAAATCAGTATTAGCTCTAACCAGAGAGACAACTCTGTTGTTGTTGGAATTAGTGCTATATTAAAGGCACCTATGTGCCTTACTAGTCTTCAATCAAAGTGCTTTACACTGCATGTCACATTCACCCATTTACACACATTCACACACTGATAAGTGTGAATTGTTAATATCATTTGTGCAACAGTTTAACACATTTTATGTGAATCCTTATAAGAGCAAGATAAGAAGAAATCCTTAAATGTTTAAATGAACATTTTAAGGTAACCCTAAGGATACCTATAAGGACATCGGTATCCCTAAGGATACCGATAAGGACAACAAATTTAACAATATAAAGAAAGTAGTCTTGTTGTGTGATTAGATTGGCTGCCGTTGTGGAGTATCCTTCACTAAGTGCACAACTGTCAGCACAGCATGTACCTGTTTGAAAGAAAAGGAAAAACTACATAGGAGAGCAGTTTACTACTAATAATAAAATAATAGAAAAGGTTTCAGTGTAGTATTGAGTTGACTGCAGGAGTAAGATAAGAGGTCATTGATCCCCCGTCAGAAAAATTCAAATTAGACATAGCAGCATAGAGGAATGTAGTGCAAACAGTACAGAGTGTATAAGTACAATAAGGATCACAAAATGAGAATATTACAAAATAGAATAGAAAATATAAGACTATAAATGGAAAATATATACCCTATATGCAATATGCAGTAAGATGGTGTGCAAAATATTTTAAGCAGCTTTTGACTAAAAAACTAAACTGTACTTGTGCAAGTTAAAGATAAATAGTTTGTGCGTCATAGGTTGAAGTTAATCCAGTCTTAGTCGGAGGGGTTTAGAGGTACTGGGTGCTGTGGTGTTGTGGAGTCTGTACTGGGAAACTGCTGATGTTTTTTAAACATATTTTTTAGAGGAAGCTTAAAGACTTTTATTGGTTGTTCAATCTAAAGAAATAAAATAAAATAAATAGCAAAAACAAAACTGTATACAGAAATGTGCAGAGTTCTTACATATGAGAAAATAATGATTCACAATCAAAAGAGATTGTAGCAGTGACTGAAAAGGGTTAGGCTGAAACCATAACCTAGTCTTACCCCTCCCACGTATATTAAAATAACATGAATACATCTGTTAGATGACAGACAATAGTAAGTACTCTAGATTCTTTTACTAAAAGTAAGACTTTTGCATATGATGCGGATTTTGGACATATTCAGTCCGTACATTACAGGGTTGAAGAGTGGCAGGCATGTAAGCCAATATAATGATAAAAAAATACCCAACATATTGGGTACACTGCTCATATCAAATCTGCTCTGCACAATTTCAAAGAAACAGCCAAAAGAAAAGTTCAGCAGGGAAGCAAGGTGAGGTGTGCAGGTACTGACAGCTTTTTGTCTGGTCTGTTTGGAACCAGAAAAACAAACTTGAATCTTCATGTAAGTGAAAATTATTGAAAATTAGAGGAACAATGATTGAGATAACCAGTGTAAATGAGCCATAATGTTATGAAGTCTGTGTCAGACAGGCAGTTTAACAACAGAGGTAGTTTCCACAGTAAATTTGTCAATGATGTCCCACACAGCTGTAAAGGTGGCATCCAAAGATACCAAAACACAATAGTAAGAAAGGGGAATAACCTGTACACAAATAAGGAATGGCAACCTTTGGTAAGATGTGCATATGTGTGTTATATTTGTAGAGGATAACAGATAAGCAAGATATCTTCATAAGACCCATGATGTGCTAAGTTTAAAAGTTCTACAACACACATAAGGTACACAGAGAAAATCTGCAGGAAACAAAATGAAGTAGAAACAGTGTGAATGTCAGAGAGAATTAACAGAACCATTGGAGAACAACCCTGTACTACCAATACAGTTTCATTTACAAACAGGCTGCACAGAATATTGTACATAGGTTCATGTAAGCTTCTGTTCCTACAGATAGATCACAATGAGCAAAAAGATTGGCACAACAATTATTATACAAAGGACATAATATCACAAAATATAAATTTTTGAAACCCCAAGTGTCAAAGTAGGGCACTTAGTGTGAAATAATGAACCTGTGTAGGCGTTTTATCCATCATCATCCTCCCTGTCTCATAAAACAATCACAACACTTTAAAGATGAACGGTGTGCAGGTGAGCATCAACACACAGAAATTTAAACAACAGGAAAAATTCCAAAATCAAGAAAATGACTTTGAATATGAAACAATTTACCATTCCCCAAATTGTTCTGTAATAATGCTCAGGTAAAGACATTGTCGGAACCATTCACCTGCTTCAAGTCAGACTGAATCGCCTCTACGAGCTGAAACTCTGGCTTCTGCTTCTTTTAACCTTTTCAAGTGT